GAGCAACAGCATTGGCAAAGGCTCTGGAATCAAATTCTCCTTTAACATCTCTAGATTTATATAATAATAGCATAGGAAATGCAGGAGCAACAGCATTGGCAAAGGCTCTGGAATCAAATTCTCCTTTAACATCTCTAGATTTATATAATAATAGCATAGGAGATGCAGGAGCAACAGCATTGGCAAAGGCTCTACAATCAAATTCTTCTTTAACATCTCTAAATCTAAATTCTAATGGCATAGGAGCTACAGGAGCAACAGCATTGGCAAAGGCTCTGGAATCAAATCTTCTTTAACATCTCTAAATCTAAATTTTAATGGCATAGGAGCTACAGGAGCAACAGCATTGGCAAAGGCTCTGGAATCAAATTCTTCTTTAACATCTCTCTTCTAAATAAATTCTAATGGCATAGGAGCTACAGGAGCAAAAGTCTCTGGAATCAAATTCTAAATTCTAATAGCATAGGAGATACAAGCTTTAGCTATGGAATGGAAATTTTCTTTAACATCTCTTAATTTTCAACTTAATCATAAGTGACAGTCATGCCATTATTGCTACCATGCCTTCCTTGGAATATCATCAGTAATGTTTTACAGATATTGAATTCTCACATAATAATAAATGTTATATATGTCATGTATAAATTCCATCAAAGTACCCCAAAATTGAGATGGTCTCTAAAAATATTTCTTATCTCAATTGGATTGTGAGTCATATAATGTAACCCTTGTGTTTACTATCAAACACACAATATTTTGCTGTTTTATGTAATATATTAACAATTTTTTTTACATCAACTGATAATGCCTAATAATATTAAAAATACACACTTCAATTATTTTTACAATTAGCACTAGTTTGTGACATCGACTGTCACACTTCTTTTTTGCTTTTTTACAACCACATTGGCCATCAGTGCATGCACCTCTACAAGCACACCATATCTGTCAACCACTGCTCGATACAACATTTTAGGTTCTTGCTGCCTCTCTCAATGTTACTTGTCACTGAGGTATATCATCTAACTCAGGAAATTCGACTAATTCAAGTCATTGCATCCATAAGTAGCATTCAAAATTCCAGAGGCACATCCTAGCTGATACTTTCTATTCGTTTTTTCAATTATCTTGCAAGGTAGTAATGGCATCAATCAATTAGAACAAATCCAACTTGACCAATTCTCCTTTTGAGAGGGGATATCCAATAATTATATAATAATAATAAGAATGACGAAAAACGAAAGTTACAAATGGTTTTATAATGCTATAATTATATAATAAGAACAAGAACGAAAGTTACAAATGGTTTTAAAATTGTTAAACATCGATTGTAGTAACAACAAGAATGTTAATTATTACATAACAACACTGGACCGACAAAGTTACATATTTTGTAACAACATCATAACAACAACGAGAATTTAATAGGCCATTAATATGTCTTATCAAAACGTTATAATAATAGGGTAACCCATAATAATAATAATAATAATAATAATAATAATATGGGGCAGAGCGAAAAGTTTGATACACGTGTTGCTTCTAGTAAAACTTTTTCATGCCTTCGGAATTTATTTTGATATAATTTTTAGTAGTTTATTATATGTAAACTTCTTCTTCATCAAAGTTTTGCAATTCATCATCATCAGAATCGCTTTTCGGCAAGCTCTACATAGTCATTCATATTTTGGTACTCCTTTGCTACATCAAGGTCAAGTTGCGAGTATGATGAAGATGACAGTACGATTCATCAAGGAAAACTTCTGGCCTAATTGGAACATTGTTTCTGCCTTGCAAATTGTCGAAGCGCTTGCTTCGTGCGGCGTTCTCCACGGCCATAATAGTATCCCAGCAAGTGGAACACATGTGGCAACTGCCACTTAGATAGTGTGTGACCATGCTCAGCAAGCTTTTGCCGTAATATGGCAGTTGCAAGTGGTGCGCCGGAGGCGTTTGCAGTTCTGATCAAGCTTCGTACAAGTTCGGCGACATCGCAATCTGGTTCCATTATGGGTCAACCCATCGTTTTGTGAGGTGTGAACTGGCCATCATTTCAGCGATTCCAGTCAGACACTACTCGAGCAACCGTTGCCTCTCCAATCCCAAGGGCCTCAGCAACTTGCTTGCGTAGTGGTAGGTGCTCTCGTTGCTTTGCACGTGCGTGATACTCCGAAAAGTACTGGTGAGCGTTTACAACCATTCATCATTCATTGTCCGTCAAAGGAGTTTGTGTCTGCTCCAATGATGCCATACTAGCGGGACGAGCCTAAAACTTGGACAGAATAAAGAAAAGGTCATCAAAAAAAACCTCCCAGAATTTCCTGTTATCCTTAATCAATATCTAATGCATGATCATTCAAAAGAAGCAATTGAAAATTCTGCTATTTTAGGACTACAATTCACTGGTAAAAATGCCTTAATGCACTATTAGCATTTTTTGTACAATTTGCTTTGTACCATTGTTTTTTATATAATTTATTGGCACTTATGGTTTTATTATTGGTTAGCCTTGCATGGTCAAGTGATTGGCATCGATTTGTTAGATAATAGCTTATATTTTGGGTTTGAGGTGGTGACATTGGGTCTTTGTAACAAACTCTGGAGGTGCTATATTGTTTTAAGGTAAAGGACAAAACCACTATTCCTGTACATTCAATGCAACCAATGTTTACAATGATGTTTTGGTTAATAGAACAATGTTGTCAGCAAAGTAGAAGCGTTGTCTATACTTGTAAAAGATTCAAACCCATTTCAGCGAGTTCTTCACACTGAGGATAGCAAGATTATCACAAGGCCAGTTTTATTAGACCGACCTATTTCACGCCAAAAAAAGTATCTAACACCAATGAAGTGAGGTCGTTGCAATCCTTGGAAGGATGACCTTCATTGATGAGCTGGAAAGAATTAATGTTGGAGCGTCCTTATGCAATTCATGTAATTATAAAAATAAAATAAAATGATAAATCTATGTTAAAAATGTAGCAATTGTGATAGATTAACGATTCAATACACCACTAATAAAGTAATTTGCCGTTGTATTAAAGAAAAAAAGTACTGGAGAAAAATCACTTCCTCTTTTACTCATCAAAAAGGAGGATGGGATACGTCTCGGAAAAAGCGTTACGCATCGTATGTTAAATGAAGAACGAATAAATTCTAAGTTAGCTATGGCGTTACTCCGTCACGAAAAATGAGTGACGTGCTTTGTGGCAAAATTCGAGACGCTTGTGCTACTGTTCTAAAATTAATGTTGAATTTTTGGTTGATCGCGGAGGAAGATTTTACCATGTGACTTGCTCTAATTTACAGCACAGCGGCAATAGAATTACATATTAAAATTTCATTAATAAAGAGCTCATAACCTTTCAAATGAGCCTAAATTATCCAGTTACGTTATGTACTTGTGGAAAAAAACATTTTGAGACACACTGTTATGATGTGGGACAAAAAATCCTACCCTCAGTAAATTTACAATGAACAAGTGAAATGCCTCATTTATGTTTATAAAATTAAAATTTTTTTGTTCACTATCACTTTCAATAATTGCCTCTGTGTGCCGACAATCACGGGAGAGTAGGTAATAATACTAGTATTATATCAGAGGACGTTAATATTGCTAATATCTCTGAATCATCGATAGACATTAATACAGACAATGCTAGTAGTGCAGTTGGCGTAACTGAATCATCGGAAATATGATCTATGCAGACGCTCCAGACAATTACAATTCTAATATTATATCGTGAAGTGCCAGTCTAATCGATGCAAAAATCACAAATATACTGCACAATCGTTACCCGACGATGAAGTAGTCTCGGCTTATCTCTTATGACGTATTCTGACGGGGGAAAAAAAGCAAAGATTCTTTTCCCGTACCTATAAATAAAGCAAAGACATTGCATGATTTTGTCAAATATAGAATTTAGTCTATAGTCGTTCATCAACAACAACTAGAGAGGATGTTCAATAAGTATGGTATAAAAACTGACCCTAACCAGACAATGGCTTTGCAAGAGGCTCGAAATGCAGCTTACTTGTTCTACCGGTGAGAAAAAAATTACAAGGGAAGCATTGAAGGAAGTACGTAGAGAACTTAGAGAAAAAGTAAAGGAAACGACATGGAGGAAGCTGCAAAATGTGTATTGGAATCTTATACGCGTAGTTCCTAAAAAATAAAGGTCAATTTATCAAAACCATATCAAGTATCTTATTTTACGTCGTTAAATCTTGCTAGGACTTAAATAAGTAGTAACCGGCGCTATTATAATCGTTCCCATGCGCTTCTTGGAGGTAGGTTGAAATTGTGAGAAAAGTTTGCTGGGTTACGTGCAGGCGTTTCAAATCCAAACAAGATATATTTTAAAGAGTTCACTCATTTTTAATAGCTCAACTGAAAGCAATGGATGGGGAATAATAAGTACCAGCTGAAGCCTTAAAAAGAAAACACGTACTAATAAGAGAACTTATTACTATTAGGATCGCATTGCCAGAAAACGTATCTTAATTGTACCTCTAATAAATTCCCATTCACAATCTCTTTTTTCATAGTCAATAAAAATAACGACAGTTGTCAGAATAATGCATCAACTAATATTTCGCTAAATAAAAGCACAGACAACGACGCGTTTGCGATTAATAGATAATTATTTCTTATACTAAAGCAACATTACTACCTAACACTACTAACTTGTTCCTTGAGGTCGTTGTATTTGGAATATAGAATAGTTAAAAGGGATTTCTTTTTGTTAAGCTGAGTTCGATTTATTCCGACTTAAGAGTGGACTGCCCAAAGATTATAGTATGGATATGCAACATTTGACATCCGATCACCACTCTTCCCATAGTTATTAACAGCTCCGCGTGGAACAGGTAACGAAATGAGTATACCAGAAGACAACTGGGATAAAGGGGTCTGCGATTTGTGGACGTGACAAATGCCGGTGAAGCAAGCGTATCCATGTGATCAAACCAAAAGAAACTCCTCATCCAATTTATGTATATTCCCCATGGAATCAACAAAGGTTCCTTGCTCTTCGACCAAATTGATAAACTCGGTAACAATGAGAACTGATAATACTTGTAATACAAGTAGTGGTATATTAAGCATCTATTTGATATACACATGATTGATTTTTCTTGCTTAGTATACATTGTTTGCACATCGACTCGTGTAAAATGTTTAATCAACAAACTTCTTGTTCAATCATTCCACATAGTCTTCGATCGGTGGACAAGAGCAAACGAGATTCCTATCACCATAGGCATCATCTGTAATATGAAAAATAAACGTTAGGCATATCATGTATGTATTACGATATTTGTCACATGCCTCACTGAGAACTTGCCTAATCTGCTCACTGACGGCCAAAACTTGCGCCTTTGTAATTCCACCATTGGATACGCGGCTTGCTCGCGTGAATATGTCTTGTCCCATTCTGTACTGACCAGTGTATGAATTGTATGCGGTGCATTTTTCAAAATATTGTTGACTTTTGGTTGTTTGCCTTCTTCAATTTCTTGGATTTCTTTACGTATAGAAATCATTGCATTGCAAAATCTATCTAATTCGGCCTTTGATTCGGACTCGGTTGGTTCAATCATCAAAGTATTTGATACTGGCCATGACATTGTTGGAGAGTGAAACCCATAATCCTAACATTTTTAATAGCAGTTATTAATACGAGTACCTAAACAAGCATACCTCACAGCACATTAAATACTCGCCTGCAATCGCTTGGCAATATCAAGGGCACCAATGCCAATTGTCTCAAATGGTCCGATGTCAACTATAAACTCGTGAGCACACATGCCATTATTATTTGTGAACAGTATTTTATAATATGGTGCTAGTCGACGAGCCATGTAATTTGCATTAAGAAGAGCCAGTTTGGTAGCCTGTGTCAAGCCGTCCGCACCTGGTATTAGCAACGTTAATGTTAGTCAAATATCGGTGACGGTATTAGCACATCGACACTTGAAAGGTACAAATCAATATTATTCCTACCCATCATTTTTATATATGCCCATGAGATTGGTAATATATCTGCAGAACCATATGGCGCTGCAGAAATAGGTCCAATTGCCTTTTCACCACCAACATTTTTTAATGGGTGACCAGGGAGAAAAGGGATCAAGTGTGATTTACTGTGAAAATATGATATCAATAGAAATCTAAGCAAAAGTGACCATTACTGTTGGGTAATAAACGATTATTTGTTCGTTAGATAATTACTTACACGCATATTGGTCCCATACCAGGACCACCTCCACCATGCGGAATGCACTATTATTAACATTAAATCAGTAAGCGTCACACAACTGTGAAAAAAATCATCTAGGCTTACCAGTGTCTTGTGGAGATTCAAATGACACACGTCAGCTCCAATCTCAGCAGGCGTACACAGACCAATCTGCGCATTCAAGTTAGCCCCATCCATATAAACCTGGCCACCATATTTATGTATGATGTTGCAAGCTTCAGTTACTCCAGTTTCAAACACCCCATATGTTGATGGGTATGTAACCATAAATGCAGCTAATCTGTCTTTGTACTTCGCCGCGTTCTTTTCGAGATCTTCCATATCGAGATCGCCATTCGTTTCGCATTTCACAATGATAACATCCATGCCAGCCATAGCAGCAGATGCAGGGTTAGTGCCATGAGCGGATACAGGAATGAGACAGATATCACGGTCGTTATCGCCACGAGATTGATGATAGGCACGGATTACTCGGAGACCAGCATATTCTCCCTGTGCGCCCGAATTAGGTTGTATCGATACGCCATCGTATCCTGTAATATCGGCAAGATCATGTTCCAATTCCTAAGAAACAAGAAGTGTGGGGTTGAATACCAACGAGAGAGATTGGTAATATTCCACATATCAGATAGAGCATTTATTGCATTAAATCAGAATCGCAAATCACAATGCCCTCTACCTTTATTAACTTTTCGTATCCTTTTGTCTGCTCTGATGGAGCAAATGGATGTATGTTCGCAAACTCGGGCCATGTTATTGGAATCATTTCGGTTGTGGCATTGAGTTTCATCGTACAACTGCCCAATGGAATCATCGAATGAACAAGTGAAAGGTCCTTAGCCTGCAGGTAATGAATATAACGCAACATTTCAGTTTCAGAATGATAAGCATTGAAGACCTGATGCTGCATGAATTGGGATTTCCTAAGAAATTGGGATGCAATTGCAGACTGAGATTTTTCGGCGATTGCTGTCAGACCAGGCGTCGTCACTTCTGGTTTGCTGAATATGTTAATTAATTGTTCTAAGTCTTGTTTAGTGACTGTTTCATCTAAGGCAATACCAATTGTTGATGAATCAATCTTGCGTAGATTAATGCCAGACTCTAATGCCTTGTTGATTATTATATCTGATCCTTCTTCTACGTGTACAGATAAGGTATCAAAAAATTGCCTAGTCTTTATTGGATATCCTAATTGAGCAAGTCCATCTGCTAGGATTGTTGTGAGATCGTGGATTCTTTTGCCTATAGCTTTAATGCCCTTTATAAAGCCAAAATACGGGTCAGCTTAGAATCATGCGCTCTAGTACTTTCTCCACGTCATAAAATCATCGTTGTTTTACCTCCGGTCCATGATACACGGCATACATTGCGGCCATGTTAGCTAGCAAAGCTTGAGCAGTACAAATATTGCTAGTTGCCTTTTCCCTTCTGATATGCTGTTCTCTTGCTTGTAATGCCAATCTGTATGCTTTGGCTCCGTGAGAATCATGTGATACTCCAACAAGTCGCCCTGGCATTTTGCGTTCGTAATGCTTTGCAACCGCAAAGAACGCCGCATGTGGACCACCATACCCCAAGGGGACACCAAAACGTTGACTATTGCCAAGAGCAATGTCGGCTCCCCACTCGCCAGGAGGTACCAACATTGTCAATGCCATTAAATCAGTTGCACATACAACTTGGCCGCCATACGAGTGGATTTTTTTGGCGAATGATGAATAGTCATTAATACTTCCGTCCGTTGCAGGATACTAAATAAGAATATAGTTTCTGGTGAATAATAGTATAACTAAACCCGTGATTCTGCAATTTTCATGCAACAGCGTACCTGAACAAGAACGCCGGCCAAATCATCCTTGTGCTGCTCAAAATCATAAGTTAATGCATCACCTATTTTAATATTAATGTTGAATGCCTCTGCGCGTGTCTGCACGCACGCAATAGTCTGGGGATGACAATTTTCGTCGATAAAGAAGGTATGACGCTTTCTATTTTTATGTGAATAACACATTCGCATTGCTTCTGCAGCAGCCGTACCTTCGTCAAGTAATGAAGCATTGGATATTGGCAATCCCGTGATGTCAGAAACCATTGTTTGGAAATTCAGTAATGACTCCAAGCGCCCTGATTTTATGAAAATTCAAACATTAGTCGACGATTTTCATGTTTTAATTGTTCCAACAACTTCACATTTGTATAGTAAAGTTTTACCTTGAGAGATTTCCGGTTGATACGGAGTGTACTGCAAGTAAGTGTAGTAAAAAGTGACATTGATGATGCGAGTATTTCAATCGAGAGATGACGCCGACTTAAAAGAGTCGTTCGCTGTGATTGTGTATATAATGTTCTATAAAAGAAAATCCATGTCTAAACTCCTTGCATACATACTTGTGTGTACCATCCAGGCGATTCTAACACATTTCTCAAAATAACCGTCGGGATTATTGTGTCTGCATAGCCCATGCCAATGTAAGATTTGTAGACTTTGTTCTTTGAAGCAATTGCTTTTAATCGCTCCAGCAGTTCGCTCTCAGTTAAACCATTATCCAAATGAAGACGACGTGTTGAGCGAATATTGCTCGGGATAGTTTTCGTGACAAATTCGTCCATGTCTTTTACGCCCACAACCTCAAGCATGGCCTCTATGTCCCCCTCTACAGAGCCATTATGTCGGCGAGCAAACGTGTCCAGAGGGGCAAACGCATTACGTTGTTGGACAGTTGTGGAGAATTTCTTGAGAAGGGGAGACTGATAGACGCGACTTTGTCGACTCGGTTTACGAAAAGTCAATGGATATATTAATGAGCTGAGGGATAATATCCTTGTAGATCTAGTAGCAATTCGAGACAACATTCCGTGTCTCCGTAGGGTTATTGTGAGTAGTCTGAAGTTAAAATTTTTAGCATTCGGGAATAATCGTGAAATTTCATATTTGATCCATGATGATCCGATCCACGAAGTCATGATGGTTTGATAAGGCATGTGGTACAATTTTGACTGTTACTCAGGCATGTGTTATCGTTATTGAGTGTAACGTAGTATTAAGTATCCGCCATTTAACCTTTGACTACTATGTTATATTTGATCGAAAAACTGTGATCGATAATTTGGTTAATTAATTATATAATGAAGTTCGTTGCAGTTTAACGAATTTCGCAATATTATAATGAACATCTAAGTGAATGCAAATACTCCGTTTAGTTGATGTTGAGCTGTTGCAACCCAAGAGGCGATTCTTGTTTAAAAATATATTCTTGTTTGCGACTCTGACCACAATTGATTTCAAATTAAAGTGCTTGAACACATTAGCCTCCGTAAATAGGTCGACTTTGAGAGGGGGGCTTCTTACAGAATCCAAGAAATTATAGGAACTGTTACGCATGAGAGAAATTACGCCGAGATTTGGGCAATATTCAATTGCCAAACGCACGATTTTCTCCCACACAGTATGCTGTACGATTAATCTTCTTCAAGTAGAGACTGTAATCGAACGGAAATATTTATTGTACGTCTTGCGCACCCAAAGCGCCTTCTTGAGAATACCGTCGACGCCAGTAAAAAGGATCGTTTGTAAACTAATCTGAATAGAACGCGAGGATATTAGGCTTTATATTGCAGTAATATACACAGTAAAAGTCTATATACCGGACTGTCCAACCAGCGTTTTAGTCCGCAATATCGGATTGTGAGTTTATACCGGCCTCTTACTGCATATGATGTCTTTTTATCTTTGTTTCGTAAATCTAATTTAAAACTACATATGACTCAGCAATAGCTTTCTGCACTATAACCAAAAAGAAAAACATATTACCTTTTTTCTATCCTGGTTCTTTTCAGACAGACTGTATATGTATACCAAGGTGCCATTCAATACATTCTCCTCATTCGGGTCGATTATATACTAATACTAATACAGATTTACCTCTTTAAATTAAATAATTTGCCATTTAAAGAATACCAAACAATCTTAATTCTTGATTTGAAAACATGTCCTTCTATTAAGAATAAAACGCAAGCATATATCTAATTCATTTTTGGTAGTAAAAAAACTCTGATCAGTTACGAGAAAGAGTTTAATAGTACTACAAATAAAGAAACTCTGAATGGTTATCGTTAGATGCGACCTCCCCAACAGCAAAAATTAAGCAAAATAAACTACCAAATTTCCAATTCTAGAAAAATCTATTCTAATTCTAGTAATACGAAAATCGGTCTTGCGTAATTTACGTCGGAGTATTGATTGTCAAGTAATTGAAACACGCAAGCAGTCCAGTATATCCTAAAATTTTCACCAATAATAGTAGTAGCAATTGGCAGTAAACCACATAGGCCAGCTTACGGAAGTTGGAGTATCAGACCAAACAG